ACCACAGCCCGCAAAGAGACAAACCCCAGGAACAGAGAGGGCGCATAAGAACTGCCACTGACAGGGTAACAACTCTTTAAACTACAATTGATGAATTGCTGAAGACTCAATGATGACACTGTTAAGAATTTAAACTTTTAAGAAGGTCCATTTCTTTAAGTCTGACATACAAGAGGCTCACCAGATTCTCATTCTGAAGATGGAGAACCATCTTGTACTTCTATTATAGACAACTAAGCTAGGTAAAAATATTATGAGCTGTCAGATAGGGATAGAACCTTGCAAGAGTCAGGGTAAAAGTGAAAATGCATTACAACTGTGGCCGGAGGCCCATCTGATGGAGACCAGGCCTCAAGATGAAGACAGAATGACCAGGCCTAAGATAAGTGGCAATGATACAGGAAATGATACCAGAGATGAAATATGAAATATTATATCTCCTTACCTGTTAGATGTCTGATACACTGAGCTGGTGTTCTTTAAAAATTGAATAATAGGGCTGGGGATTTAGCTTAGTGGTTTTGCTGCCTGCTGTGCAAGCACGAGGACCCGAGTTCCATCTCCGGTACCAAAAAAAAAAATTGAATAATCAAGTCTAGGAGCAATGGAGGTTAAGGGTAGGAAGATATTTATTGATAAGATAGCTCCTGAGAGGTAGGAGGGGACTCCACTTTACAGAGGAGTTTTGTGGATGAAATGTGGATGAAAAGAATGAAGACTTCTAGGAAATGGTGGGTCCAGAGGTCCCGGTCACCCACTGAGGTGACTGATGTATATCTAGACTTCATCAGGCCCAGTGCCCTTTGAGGAAGTATACAAGTCTGGTTATCTTGTCTTTATCTTGAAGCCTCGTCTCTAACAGATGTGTCCCCAGCCAGAGTTGTGATGTGTTTCACCTTTGTCCTGACTCTCTCGAGGACCTAGCCCTATTTGACTGGCTATAATATTTCTATCTAACTCAGCTATGTATAATACTAAAACCTGGCCTAATGAATTCTAGATAGACATCAGTCATCCCTGTGGGTGATCAAGACCCCCAGACTCATCCCTTCCTGAAAAATTCTTTGTTCTTTCCACCTGTACTTGCTATGTGACTTGGTTCCCCACTGGATCAACATTATGTAAATGACTATACTTATAACTGATCATAGATGTAACCCACACTGTACTCATATGATTGTGCTCTATAGAACTTCCCCTAAGAAGTGGGGTCCTCTGCAAGCCACTTTCAGGCTCTGTACTCCGCTCAGGAGCTGTATCTCTCCCCTTCAATAAATATTCCCACTGTTAACCTTCATTGTTCCTAGAACTCATTCTTCAATTTTAGAGAGCACGAACTCAATGTATTGGACATCTAGCGTGTTGAGAGTTACAATATTTCCCTAATATCATATTTGGAGGCCCTATATCATTTTCTATATCACTTCTAGCAGGAAAGAAGAAACATAACCATTAAAAAAATATTCAGAGACCTCTGTTCTCCTTAACATGGCTTTCTCTCATGGCACTGTCTTTTACCAGAATAGGACAGACTTGAGTTTCACTGAAGTCCAACATGGGAGATGGAAATACTTAGTCCCCAAGACTGGAGTTTCACAAAAGTCTAACATGGCAAAGGGAAATATTCAATCCTCAATGTTGCAGTCTACGACCATGGCACAACACAAAAGGATGAAAGGTTACTCAAAGATTACTGAGTCAATGTCCAATCCATACTCCAAAAGGGCCCAGAGGGGCTACCATTAATTGAGACCCTCTCAGCATGAGAGAGTCTCAAACAACAGCCCCAAACTGAAGCATCTGTGGCCTTTTATAGAGAGAACCATGAAGCAAGGATCAAAGAAAAAGGAAGGCAGGAATTCATGTAGAAAGCAGGGGAAAACCAGAGGATGGTGAGGATAGTCTGTGAAATGACTTGTTCTGGGACTGATTTAAATGATAAATGAGTATGGGAGGACAAAAGGCCAGAGCATTTAATCCCAAACCAATGCATTTTGATCCTACTGTGACTTGTGTCCCAGTAGGCTATCTTTTAAGCTCTAAGCCTGCACTCCAGGAGGTTTAAGGCTTGTGGCTCTACAAGCTCCTTATCTCTGAGTATCCATCTCATACATATGTCTGGCCAATGCTCCCACAGCCCAAGACTTGAGTTTCACCAAAGTTTAACGTGGGAAAGGGAAATATCCACAGTCCACCAGTGAGGGAAATGGGAACTACCCTTCTCCTTTTCATTTCTGACTTCCTCTCTGCATGTGGTGAAGACAAAGCTCACCAAGCTGGCAGTGACAGGGAGAGCTTGGTCCAAGCTCAGGGAGGCATGGCCACCTGTGTGGTTCCTTCCGGGACAGGAGCCAGGTCCCACACAGGTCAGATTAATTCTCTACTCCAGTTGGACTATCTAAGGAAGAAATAAAGAATCAATCAACTATCAAGTTTTCCAAATGTCCAACTAGAATCATGAAGCTACCAAGCCATGGAAGAGATTTTAAAAGCCATGGAAGTTCCATTCTTTTCTAACTAGCTTGGTAATGGGTGGCATTAGAATTATAAATTAAAGCTCAGATACTGGTTATTCCTGGAATGACTCAGTGGGGAAAGCAATGGACTTATAATTAGGAAACAAGAGTAGCAGTTCTAACTCCAATACTCAATGAATTGCTTAACCTCTATGAATCTTAATGCTTTGTCTGTAGCAGAGAAATAACCACATCCACTCCATTAAATTGAATGACATGTGTACTAATATAATTTAGATGTGGGATGTAACAACGAAATATAAGGTAGTATTATTTTTAAAAAGAAACAATATTAAAAAGTTGAAATGATAGCATTTCAATAAAATAAAACATTTGAACTCAATATTTAAAGAATGCAGAAGACATAAGGCAACATATAGGGAAAGGAGCCAGATATTTAAACAAAGAATCAAGAAAATGCATTTGTCTGAGTGTTGGGGGAAAAAAAGATAAAATGAAAACTTGGAGCACTTCAACTCTCAGGACATACCTCACCTCTGCAGAGTTTCCACCATAACCCAATGGCTAGTAACCCTTACCTTGGAATGTTTCAGAGTGGATGTATTATATACAGATGAGTTCAGTAGAAATATTATTGGCAGTCAGATAGGGCCAGGTCCTCGAGAGAGTCAGAACAAAGGTGGAATACACCACAGCTGCAGTTAGAGACATATCAGTTGGAAACTGGGCCTCAAGATAAAGACAAGATGACCAGACCCGTATACTTTCTCAAAGAACAAACACTGGGCCTAATAAAGTCCAGATAGACATCAACCACCCCGGTGGGTGACCAGAGACCTCTGGACTCACCACTTCCTAGAAGAATCTCTGTTCTTTCCATCCATGCTTGTTATGTGACTTTTTTCCAAACTGGACCACTATTACCTAAGTGACTGTGCTTGTAACCTTACTGGATGATCATGACTGTGGCCCACGTTGTACCCACATGGGTTTTACTCCACAGAACTCTCCTATAGAGTGGGGTCCCCAGCTACCAATTCGGGACCCCTCTAGGCCCTCAGGAACTTTCCTATCAATAAATTTCTTCCTACTCTTAACCTCCGTTGTTCCTAGAATTCATTCTTCAATTTTTAGCTAATAAGAACTGAGTGTATCAACAGCTAACAGGTTGAGAGATACAATATTTCATATTCATCTCTGGTATTATTTCCTGTATCAGAAGCATCTAAGGAAGCTTTGTAAAAATGCACATGTTCAGGCTCACCTCAGGAAATTCTGATTCCACAGGTCTGGCTTGGAGTTGTGCATTTTAAAAAGCTCCACAAATGATACTGAAAAATACTCCTGGGTTAAAATCACCGTAAATGGAAAACTTTGAAGCTCTGGAAGGTTGAGCTTCTTGCCTGGACCCAACATTGAGTGGCAGAGGCAGGACTGCAGCAAGGTGCTTTCACTCCCACATGTGTGCTCTTTTCCATGGTAAAATCCTGGAAAACAAGGTCAGACTTCATTCACCTGGTTATGATGGCTGAGCCTCGTTAACATCAGACAGAAGCTTGCTCTCTGAGGGATGGAGTCCAGGAGAAAGCCACAGTCATGATGCATTAATTTAAGTGAGGGGAGAGCACGTTAAAGGTGAAGGAAGAGAGCTATAAAAAATGGAGACAGACCAGTCAAGGCTATAGCAAGGCAAAGCTGTGGAGACATCACGTTGCCTACAAAGGACAGCACTGATTAGTAGAAACCTCTGTACCTTTTCAGCCTCCGTGTGGATATAAGAATGCAGCTGAGGCCCCAATGAGACCCCCTCCAGCCCTCCAACCTCAGAGAGAATTTTATTTATTTTTTCTTTTTTTGGTACCGGGGATTGAACTCGGGTCCTTGTGCTTGTGCAGCAGACGGCAAAACTACTGAGCTAAATCCCCGGCCCTAAGAGAGAATTTTAAACCTGTGCAAAGGGCATTCAAGACCCCAGGAAACAGGCTGAAACAATCTACCCTACAAGGGGTGGCATAGTGAATATATCAACCCAATGACTTAGTTTCATTGACAAATTTCTGAAACTTCCATCACTTTACACTAGCACTATCAGCTGGAAACAAAGCCTTCAACACAAGAATCGTTGGGAGACATTTCTTACTACCCTCCTCTATGATGCAAAATAATCCATCTACCTCAAGATTCCTTCAATTAATCTCACCAATTCATTTTGCCAAGTAGTTATACAGTCACAGGTCTGGGTGATAAGGACAGGGACGTTTGGGCAGTGGACAGGAGGTAGCACTATTTACCACACCAAATAATTTTCTGATAATACTCACGATCTTTTCTTCTTATCAAGATTTAATTGATCTATATTGACACCAGTGAATGAGGGAGTGAATAAAGACTGTTAGTGATTCAACACATATTTATTATTAGGTCTGTTACGGACTCGGTCATGTTTTACACTATCTTCAGGGGATGTCCTGGAAAATAGTGCTCACTCTACAAACTTGCTTGATGTCAAAAAGCAGTCTGTCATACGAAATCAGCAGCCAGTTTATTAACATGTAATTAACACAAGAGAAGAAGGCAAACTTATTTTTTAAGCTCATTCAAAATGACAATCAAACATGAAATTATAAAAAAGACTGATATAAGGATGTCCAAGGAAAACTTGGGCTTATTGGTGTCTAAAACACCACCATATGGATGTGAAGAACCCTGAATCCCCAGGGAGTGGGGAGAGGAACTGGATGGCTTTGCTATTATACGTCTTTGTGAGCCCTGCACACACGTGCCTCGAAGGCAGGACTGACATTTGTGTGTGTCATGGGGCCCTTGCAGAGGCACGGCCCAGATCACTGGCCTCCTCCTGAAGCCATGTCCATAGTATCTCTGCAGAATATACTGTACCAGGGTTTCCAGAATCTTCATGATGCTATCAGTGGAGAACTCAGGATTCTCAAGTTGGGAACATAAACACTTCTGGCATTTCTGAGCAAAAAGCCGCATAAACACCTGGCCCTGGCATGTCCAGTGGTCCCAGTACACATGGCACAGGATCTTCACCTGGGCAGAATCCCAACTTTGATGACACAAGGTACACGAGAACCTGCAGGTCAAAGGGAAGAATCCATTGCTGTGAACTCAGCCAGCTGAACTCATCCCTAGGATGCATCTGAATTTGGGACAACACTTGCTGTATCTGGACTGCCACACTCTCCGGGACATGAAGTGAGAAGAGTTTTGCTGACATGGCTTTTTCACACATACGTGTCAAGGCTGCCTCTTGGCTAGTAAAACCATTTTTGGGTGCCACAGAGGGAATAAGAATTTCTATCGTCCATGGTAAATTTGTTTCTCATTTTGATAACAGAAAATTTTTAAGGAAGTAACTATTTGGAGGCAGTCATTATAATCGATGCCTGACAGTGTTATTCCTTATCACCTTTACATCATTCCTATGAAATAGGCAACATTGAGCTCAACATCCATATAAGGAAACAGTCATAAAAGACATACAAGATATGTGGTAGAAGCATGGCTGCCTGACACTAAGCCATTTGACACCAACCTTGTTTATCTGCTTACCGTACTGTATCATCTCTAAGAAGCAATATAACTCATCTCGCATCCAGGGAAACAGATTAGGACCTGGAGCCACAATATTCACTTGAAGGTCGAGGTGCATGGTTTTCATTACAAAACGTCAGATAAAATACATCCCTTCCCTAAACCTTAATTTTTAAGTTCATTAAAAAAAAATTGTGGGTTTTTTGATCAGGTTTAAATGAGACAAATTTGAATGATGATGGTGATGGCCAATGGAAAATACTGTGAATGTACAAATTTTAAAGACATGTTGCCAAAAATGATGGAATAAGTGTGCAAAGTGAAGAGGACTATTTTGAACATTTTGAAGGGCATTGATGGTGTGTCTTTTACTGAATTCCATTTTTAAAATTCAGACACTCATTTATTTTCTGAACACTCCGTGTATGTAAAAGCTCTTAATACACTGTGAGACAATTTGAAAAGCTGACTGATATCTTCCAAAAGTGTGTTGGTAGATTGTTCTTCCCATCTCAGTATGACTATCAACTTAATTTACCTGAACAGAAGAAATGCTTTCCTGATGGGGACAGGACCAAAATGGAAAGAGCCATTGTGAGGCTCACAAAGAGCTCTGGTCAGGGTGCAGGCAGATTCTTACACAGATCACTGGATTACATAAAAGCAGAACAAAGTCATCGGTGCATAGGCTCAGCTCAGCCAAATGGCCTGAAAACTGTGCGTCAGAGCTACAATTGAAATTAATGAATTCTTTAGCTCAAAATATATAGTTTACATAATGTTTACAAATGGATTATTTCAAAATACATATCATGTATTTATATTATACACACAACAGTTCTCTCTTGACAGTGTAGAAGAAAGAACACTTACTCTGCTTAGATGGACAGAGGACACCTTAAGGAGGAGGTGACCTGCAGTGTTCCTTGAAGGATGACCAAGGAGGGAATGGGGCAAGGGGCTGCCAAACAGGCAAAACATCTTAGTGTTAGGCAGCAAGTCGGCACTCGCAGGCCTGGTACCAGGCAGCTAGGGCTACAGGATAAGCAAAGAAGATGTGATATTTTCCCTTTGTTTCATTAGGCATTACCTATAGCGAAGAAACACACAAACTTGTGGTTTCAAATGTTAGCCCAGAAGAATGTAGCATCTTCTGGGCATGCTGATGAGGTTCAGACCATGGGTGAAGAGCTGGAAACTTCTCAAGGTCTCAAAACAAACCAAGTGGAAAACATTCACCTAAGGAGTAAACAGGAACTCGGTCTCAAGTTGGTCAACACAGCACGTGTTCCTTGTGAAAGAAAAGAGGCTTCACAAGAAGGAAAAGATGAAAGACCTTTAATCATATAAAGACCCATTAATCATATAAATGTAACCTGAGACCACACTCAAAGCAAGTACCATCATGGCAGTTGGCTTCCTTCATTGCTTGAAGGTGTAGTCTCTCACCCACATTGAAAATTTGTTATTTTGCTATAAACTCTACCTGTCCTCTATAGAGACTGCCTACACATCTCATCAGAAATCTTTCTTTGAAGACACAAAGAAACATGGCACAGTGAGTCTGGTTCCTCCGACGTTAGGACCTGCATGTGCTGGAACCCTGATATGTTAGAAACAGGCTTTCAGGTGACAGGTGTGGAGTCTCCATGCTCAGGGAAGCCTAAAGCTGAACATGCAGGGTGTGGCTAATGGTCCAAAAGGATTGGAGCAGCACAGGGCTGAGGCAGGCTGGGCAGGCAGGCAGCAGCACAGCAGGTGAGAGAGAAAGAGGATGAGGGATGCAGGGTGCTATTTACAGGGAGAGGAGCTGATTGTCCACACAGCCACTCTCACCCTTGGGCAAGCTAGGGACCTGGTTCCTACAACCTGGAGACTTGCTGGGGGCTAGAAAGGGAATGGCCAGAAAGAGACTACAGAACACCAGGAAATAGGTTTTTGACTTAGCTTTTGCAGCCACATTCTTCCCTATCACCCCGGGGCCTTTGATAAAGTAGTATTCAAAGTGACTACTCCATCTTAATCAGTCCTTAGCATGCTAAAGAAGGACCAGGTCTCAGACTTGTCCTGGGCTGGGCCACAGCCAGGAGACATGCTACAGCCTGGGGAGGCTCACTGGGACCCAGGAGGGTGTTTCCGGAGGGCTTTATGGTCATCTGCACCAGATCACACAGCAAAGGGGGATGCATTCTGCCAGGATTTCCAGGAACATTTAGGGGAGGAAATCAAGTAAAAGAATAAGCTTTCTGCACATAAACAAGATGGAAACTTGCAGTTTATCCTTTAGACCCGAAAGAGCACTGAGATAGCAAAAGGCCAGAGACCTGGTGCCTTTCTTTCAACAAGCTCTCAGAGAGACAAATCAACAAAAAACTCAGCCTCTCTGCTCAGGAAACTCTCGTGCTGAACAAATCCCCACTCACCTGCCAGGTGCTGTCTGCTGGTGCTGCTTCCACTTGGGGGCCACAGAATCAGGCTCAATGTCTTCATTCAACTTCAGGGTCCACTTGGCCCAGGGTTTCTCCTGCTGGATCAGTTCTTGAAACGTCTGCTCCCACGTTCTAATGTCCAAAACCATTCTGCCCCTCTCGGGATGGAGGTTAGTGTTTGCTGAAATACCTTCAATTTAGCTCACTCTCCAGGAAGTGAAGTTTCTGATTGCTTGTGCAGTTGAGTTTCTGTTTCCTAGTTTTTACTTTCGTTTTTAGATTGGGCACTCAGAGCACTTCTCCCTTCTGAAGACAGAGGGCAGCACAGTTTTGTTACTTCATGGCTTTGATGAGCTGCTGCCTGAGTCCAGAGCTGTGGTCTGGATCCCGAGAGGGCCGGAAGTTAGTTTTCATTTCCTTTTTCTCTCGTTTCGAAAATAATCAGGATGCTCCTTCTGGCACCGGGATAAAGGAACTGTGATTGAGAGCCAGTCCGCACCGGCGGGGATGCTCACATCCTCCTGGAGAGGAGAGTAAGTGGGAGGCTGTGGTCAACACCTGTCTCATACACTTGCTGACTCCCGGAAACTTGCATCTGAAGGGGCTTTTTTCCTGATAGTTTGCAGGGGAGCCACACAGAGAGCGGGGATGCTGAGCCGAAAGCCACAAAGCAAATAAGTAACAGGGATGAAGCCTGAACCCGGGTGTCTGTGACTCTGATACCTGCAGAGTGCACCCACCTCCCTCCCTGAGAAGCAGCAGGAATGGAGTTTCAGGTTCCAGGCTGGAACACTGGAGCCACAGGCAGAGGAACCAGGGTGAACTCTGAATCAGTGGCTTTGTCTGACACATTTCCTGCATCTGGCCTCCAGACCAGGCTCCATGAGGTATTATTGAGCTCACTGAGGACAGGAGGAATCCCAATGCTTTCCTCGTCATCAGTAAGGAAAAGATGAAGAAAGAGCAGGAAAAAAGTAAATTAGAGCTCCTTTTTCGTTCACATAACACATTTAAAGCAACTCATTCTTTACTTCAAGGGGTTTTAACTCCAGGATAATCAAACTGTGGAATTCATTAGTTTAAAGAGACTCAAAACCCTTGTGACACCTCTGCCCATTTTAATGAAACTCAGTGAAGGAGAATTACATACCCAGAAAACGTTGAAATCACAAGATCCTGAAATTTAATGGAAGAGGCTGCCTTGCTATACCTTGCCACTGTGCCTACACAATACATTATGGACAATCACAAGGACATAAAGGGAACCAGTGGAATTAAGGAAAAGCAAAATTACAGAGTTGCCTTAAATAGACCAAATAACATATTTATCAACTGTCTATAAACTTATAGTCCCACTGTGCTTACTATCCAGCAGAGCTCAGTGTAGCACAAAAGGGCAGACATCATCTAGTACATTCATTCCAACACTGAACTACTGAGAATTGATTTTTCTTTGCCTCTCTTTTCAGAATTGATGTGTGTTTTTATTACTTTGGGGATCCTTCCTCTTTTCCAGCTGTCTTTCAGCAGTTCTCCATTTCCCCCCTTCTCTCACTTCTGTCTGCTTTTCCTATTAATTAAAGCACAGGTCTGTAGCCAGTCTGCCCACTTCGGACCACCTTGGTGGTCTTACCAAAACCCTGAACATCCCTGTGATTCAGTTTTCACTGCTAAAAATAGGGATAATAATGTTCCATGCTCACAGGGTACTAAATGCTTTTTAAAGCAGCTACTGGCACTAGAATATAGAAGTGTTTGATATTTTTGTCATTGTTGCTATGCTGCATGTTTCTTTGACGTTACTGTGACACCTTTCTTAAGTATTTTGTGAATACAAGACAAATCACAAATACCTATTTTTTAAATTATAGTATAGGCAGTAAAATTATAAGAACATATCTAATAGTCAAAGAGCATGATAGTCACTTAGGAATGCAGACTAAGCAGAAATGTACTTGATTCCCATGCTTTACCTCCATCCACTTTGTGCACCTCCCTAAACAAGGCTAGCTCTTCCCTAGGACATACACCAATCTCTGTCTTGATGGCCAGAAAACTGGTGAAAGGTGACAAAAGTGTAACAAACTGTGATGTCTAGAGTCAGGTGCTGCTCTGGCCCAGGGGCTAGGTCTGCTAGGAAACCCTTCCAAGGGAACAAAGATTATATTAAACCCCTCAGAAAGAAATAAGACAATAATTTATAGGGTTTCAAAGGGGTGGTTTGTTCCAGCATTTCTATAAAAACTTGGTTGACTTCAGGCCTCTTGGGGTCCACCACTGGGATGATGGGGTCTGCCTTGATAGAGAGCCACATTGTTTATTTTATTTTATATGTAGAAAGAATTTCCATAAGCTTAAAGAAAGCTGAGACCTAAAGAGGAGAGATGACCAACCCAGGGTTGCCCGGCTTGATTAGGCCACTATAAATAGAGCTTTGACTGCCATTAGTGGCAGCCACTTCCTCTTTTTCAGCACAGGTTTTCTTAAAGCCAAGGTCAGATCACTTCCTACTCTGTTTCATGGCTGTGGTAAACATGTGTACCCTACAGGAGCGGGGTCAGTAACCACCTGACCAATGGCCAGTGTTGGGAAACAAGTGGATCAAAGTATACCCTTCATGAACTTTCTTCTGGGTGCTCTTACTCCATGGTTCGCATCTCAGAGTTACTATGTGTACTGCAACTGCTGTATCAGATCTGCTTTTGAAAGAACCCAGTCCACACAAAAAGAAACTTATTTTATCTTTCTTCATTTCCATCTCATGTATGAAAAAGGTGGTTTCCACATGACTTTAAGGAGCATGGGAGTCACCACTCTTATCCTCACAGAATGAAAAGCTGAACAAACTGAAGAACAGCAACTCTGCTTGGTACCATGAGATACTTGAGGTCACAGGGCACACTGCAGCCTGGGAACTGGAGAGAAACAGGTGGAAGTGAAGACTCACAGGGCCCATGAGTGAATTGACACAGGGTAGAAAATCGTTAACCTATAATTAGTGAGTTAGTTGCTGGAGACTCAATGAGTATGAGGTTGAGAAATTAAAAATCAAAGATCCACTTTTTTAAGTCTTGCATCTAGGAGTCCCACTATGTTCTCACTGTGAGGATGAAGAACAATCTCTGCTTCTGGCGAGGGAGAAGAAATATAACTATTTTTAAAAATAGTCAGAGTGGGCCGGGGATTTAGCTCAGTGGTTTCACTGCCTGCTGCGCAAGCGCAAGGACCCGAGTTCAATCCCTGGTATAAAAGAAAAAAAAAGTCAGAGGCCTCTGTTTTCCTTAACATGGTCTTGCCTCATGGTAATTCTTTCACCAGAATAGGACATACTTGAGTATTACCAAATTCTAACCTGCAAAAGGGAAATAAATACTCAATGCCAATGACTTAGCCTTTAACAGGTGCAATGGGAACTACCCATCTCCCTTCCATTTCTGACATAGATCTGCATGTGGATAATGGAAGCAGCACCCTGGATGTGGCACCACCTAAAAGGCTCATACCCTGGATGGGATAAAAGGGAAAGGGAGGCTTGCTGCTGCTGCTACCTTCCTGTCTGCCTTGCTGTAGCCTGTTTCTCCTCTGTCATGTCCTTCTGCCATGCCACCCTGCCTTAAAGATAGTTGACTATGGACTGAAACCTCTAAAAACTGAGCTGAAGTAATCCTTTCCTCCTTTAACTTGTGGGTGTTGGCTAGGAAAGGAACATAGCAATGGACTTAAAATTAGAAAATAAGTGTATAAATTCTAAATCCAACACTCACTGACTTGCTTAGCCTTTTTGAATCTTAATGTTTTGTCTGTAATAGATGAATAAATATATCCACTTCATTAAATTGAGTGATTTGTGTACTAACATAATTTAGATGTGGGGCATAATGATAAAATATCAGATAGTATTATTTCAAAAAAGAAAGAATATTAAGTTTTGCAATAATATCATTTTGATGGAATAAAATACTTAAACTGAATATTTAAAGAATGCAGAAGATATAAGGTGCATATATGGAAAGGAGACAGGTATTTAAACCAACAACCAAGAAAAAGATAAAATGAAAACTTAGAGCACTTTCACTCGTAGGACACTGCTATGGCTTATATCTAGATGTTCCCCCAAAGCCTCTTGTGGTCAAAGGTGGGGCTTTTTAGAGGTGCCTGGATTGAGGGTGTGTAATACTAGATAAATCATGTGATGCTGGAATTAAGGGTGTGATTCTGGAATTAAGGATGCCCCACTCTGGGTGTGGGTGGCACCACCCAAAAGGCAGGGATAAAAGGTCATTAAAAGGGAATGGCTGTATTTGCTGTTGCTGCATGCTGCTTTTCTGTCTCCTGCCTCCTTGCCATGGACTGTTTCTCTTCTGTGAGGCCTCTCTGCCATGCCATCCTGTCTTGAAGTCAGCTAACTATGGACTGAAACTTCTACAAACCATGAGCTAAAATAAACTTTTCCTCCTTTAACTTTGAGTATTGGGTATTTTGTCTTAGCAACAAGAAAAGTAACTAAGACAGATTCATCTTACTTCTACAGATAACCCAATGGCTACTGGCTCTTACCATGAAATATTTCACAATGGCTATATCTAAGAAAGCATGTTCAGGCTTACCTCAGGAAATTCTAATTCCACAGGTCTGGAGTAGTACATTTTAAAAACTCCAAGGCTGATACTGAAATACACTCCTGGGTAAAAATTACCATAAATAGGGCCAGGGATTTAACTCAGTGGTGCCACCACCTGCCTTACAAGCACAAGGTCCTGATACAAAAAAAAACAAAAACAAAACATAAATATAAAATTCTGAAGCTCAGGAAGTTTGAGCTTCTTGCCTCTATCTAACATTATGAGTGGCAGAGGCAAGATTACAGCAAGGTGCTTTCATTCCTACCTATGTACTCTTTTCCATGGTAAAATTCTGGAAAGCAAGGTCAACTTTTGTTCATCTGGTTATGATGGCTGAGCCTCGTTGACATTAGACAGCAGCTTACTCTCTGAGGGATGGAGTCCAGGAGAATGCCACAGTCATAATGCATGAATTTAACTGATAAGAGAGCACATTGAGAGCAATGGGGATAGTTATTTTAAAAATGGAGAAAGAGCAGTCAAGACAATTACACTGCAAAGCTGTGGGGATATCGCATAGCCTGCCAAGGACAGCATGGTTAAGAGGTTAACTTCTTCAGGTTTTCAGTTTCCATATGGACATGAGAATGCACTTGAGACCTAAATGAGACCAGTGTGGAGCCTGCTGATATTAGGGAGAATTTTAAGCTTGTGTAAATGGCAGCCAAGACCCCATGAAGCAAGCAGGAACAAGCAGCCCTCCTTGATCTTGACTGCAATAGATGTTTTGCCAAGATTCAGACTTGTTCCTACAAAGGTAGTTCACAAGATTCATGCTTGAGTATTTTCAGAATGTGGCCTACAGTCTTCTTTTGGAGTTATTGATTTTCCCAAGTTCCTTCCAACAGGAACTTGGGAATCCTTGTTATAATCCATTTTCCCAGCTTCTTGTGTACTCCTCAGTGAGGGCACTGTTCTGTTCTCAGCCATTGGATTAGATCTCCCATGGTTGTTGAGACAAAAGAAGTCAGTTCTGTCTTTCTCCCTGCCTACTTTTCATCAAAAGTTACTTTTTGTCTTCATTTTTATAAAT